GCAGCTCCTGCTGGCACAGCTGGTCGGCACGCGCCGGCTCCTGGCCCCGGGCCTGGCTCAGCTCTCCGCGCAGGGCCGCGTTCTGCTGCTCCAGGAAGCGCACCTTCTCGATGAAGTTGGCGAAGCGGTCGTTGAGTTCCTGCAGCTCTTGCTTTTCGTTGCTGCGCGTGGCCAGGAACTCCTGGTTGAGGGCTTCGGCCATGGAGAAGTCGAGGCGCTCTGAGGGCAGGCGCAGGACGCCCACTCGAGGGGCGCGGAAGCTACCCAGGCGCACGGAGGAGCTCGGGGACGCCGACCCCAGCAGGCGGCTGCCGGAGAAGCGCGAGCTGGACGAGTAGGAGAAGGCCCCGGGGGACAGGGAGGGCGGTGGCCCGAAGGTGCGGCGGTACGAGGTGGTGCTCACGCTGGCCCGGAGGCCCGACGGGTGGTGGCTCATGTCGGCCAGCCGAGGAGGACAGAGGACCGCAGTCAGCGCTGGAAGGGTGGACCCTGCGCGAAGGAGCCGCAGACTCTAAGAGGCGGCTTTATAGCCCCGCGGTCTCAAGGAGGGCTGGGCAGCTCCTCCCCCTGGCCGGCTGCAGCGGGGCTGCTTGGGGAGGGGGACGCCCCACCCTGCGGACCGCAGCGGCGCCGCGCCCTCCCCTCTCCCCTGGTTGCTGGCGCCCGGCCACGAGATTCCCGGCAGGGGTGGAAGCAGGGATGCGACCACCGGCTGGAGTGACTTGCAGCGCCTTCCAGCAATCGTCCAAAGCTAGGGCCTGGACCGGACAGGAGGGCTTGACTGGAGCTGGGGTCCCTGCCTGGAAGAGCTGGTAGAAATTAGGGGAATAGGGGAGTTTAAGGTTAAGGGCAAGCTTCTAGTAGACTAGGGAGGCCTGGCGGAGGAACGCTGGCCTGGCCTAGGCCCCAGAACTTGTGCCTTCTCTTGTCTCATGAAGCTGGGGCTGTCACCTGCAATCAGCTACGCCCTCCTTCACCATACACGCAGGAGAAGTGGGGCACCGGAGGGTAGAGAGGCAGAGGGGCCGGCAAAGGGCTGGTCTCTCCCTAATCCCCAGGGCCCACTGAAGAGCTGATGATTGGCGCCAGCCAGCTCTGCTAATGGACTGACCAGCTCCCCTCCCCCTGCTCCTGGCCCCTGGCAGAGGTTGCCTGCTGCTGTTTTTTACCTTAAAGACACAGCCCCCAGACCTGCTCCTTCCTCAGGCCCCAAGAAGGTGGGTGCCTCACTGGAGGCTGAAGGTGGCTGGCTCTGCACCCACTTGGAGGGTCTGTTCCACGCCAGAGTCTGAGTGAGTGGCCTGTGGAATGCTGTGTGCCTTTACTGGATTCTTCCTCTCCCCTTCCTCATCAGCTGCTGCTCAGTCACGGCCTTCTGGGAGCCAGGGCGATTTCTGAGGTGGGAAGGGGAAGTGGGGGGGGGGAGCAGCTGCTGAGAGAGGTGAACAGACTGGCAGGAATCTGTTTCCAGTATTGAGGAGGTACAGGTACCAGGGGATGAGGGGCTGGAGAGGGACAGAAGGGGAGAAACTGAAGATGCCCACCCCAGTCTATCTGAAAGATGAGAGAAGGCCCGGACAGGCCCACAAACAGATGCATAGGCATAACCCCATGGCCTGCGCATGCACACTTCACACACAAATACACAACCACACGTCCACACATCCCTTCATGACCCACCACATCCTGAGTTAGGAGGAATGCTGATGTCTGGCCTTTGCATGTGACACAGCTTCCAGGGTGCAGGCACAGGGCAGACAGCTTGTTCCAGGGGTCTGCAGGAGCTGGGATGCTGAGGGCCTGTTGGGTTTGCCAAGAGCCACGAGGCTGCTGCAGCCAGGGACTTTGACACTCTTGGGCCACTTCAGATTGGCCCTGAGGGCAGTTGGGCATCTAGGGAAGCAAGTTTGGGGCTCCAGACAGGACCCCTGGCTGGGGTGAGGAGGGCGGCTCCCTGGCTAGCTAGCTTCTCTGTTCCGCAGGGAGAGAACTCCCTCCTCCTTTGTGTGTCCTCTCTGAGATGGCCCAGAGCCCACATCAGCCATTCAGCCAGTCCAGTCACTCGCCTGCTCCTTTCCCTGTGCCTTTCTTTCCTGTCCAGGCCCCACCTTCCTTCCGGGCTATTAGTCTTTCTGCATAGCTGCCAGGTCCTTCTCCTGGATGGGCCTGGTTTGGTTGCCAGGGGAATGAGGATGGGAGATGGATGAACCAGGGCTGTTCCCTGGACTCCTGAGAGTGGGGAGGCTTCTGTCTGGGGCTGGAGGTGAGGGGATTAGCAGGTGCAAGGAGGAGGCTGCAGAACCCTTGGTGCTTTTTTTTTTTTTTTTTTGTACTGGGGATTGAACTCGGTCCTTGCGCTTGCAAGGCAGGCCACCGAAGCGCTGAGCTGAGCTAAATCTCCAGCCCCCTTGGTGCTTTTTTGCTGCAGCCCTGGGCTCTGAGCCCCATCTACTTCAGACTCCGCCCCACCCTCCAGAGAACTGGGAGCCAGCATTGCACTGCTGTGCCAGAGGGGGGTCAGGCCAGCCTGGGGAGGACCAGCTCCAACTCTAGCTCCAGCTCTCTCTGTAGGGAGCTAGAGGGAAGACCTGGGCCTTTGAGAGATCCATACAGGGTTCTCCCTTGCTTCAGCCCCCCAGCTCAACCTCCAGATCTTTAGAGGAGAGAGACCCAGAGAGCCCCTTAGCAGGGAGTAAAGAAGATGGGAGATGCAAGGCAGGGGAAGGCTCCTACCACTCAGGGAGGAGCCAGGCCTGAGAGATCTTGTGGGTAGACAAAGGCTCAGGCCCTATCCAGCTGCCCTGCCTCCCACTGGATCCTGCCATTCTCTGTGCTAGGGATTTAGGCTCAAGCTGTGTCCTTCAGTAAAATGGTAATAACTGTGGCTCTACTTCACGGTGCTGTTGGGAAGAATAAGTGAAAAATAAGTGAGCTCTTTTGTTTGTTTGTTTTTTGTTTTGTTTTGTTTTTTGAGACAGGGTCTCACTGTGTAGTTCAGACTGTTCTGGAACTCACTGTGTAGCCCAGGCTGGTCTCAAACTCACAGTGATCCTCCTGCCTCAGCCTCCTGAGTGCTGGGATTACAGGCATGCACTACCATGCCCGGGTCATGTTTGTTCTTTGAGATGGTCTCACTACGTGGTTCAAGCTGGCCTGGAACTCACAGCAAACCCCCTGCCTCAGTCTCCCAAGTGCTGGAATTACAGGTGTGCAGCACCCTGTTTGAGTGAAAAATATGTGTGTATACTTAGAACACACATTGTAAATGCTGAAAAATGTAAGTTAGTTTTATTAATTTTGTGTGTGTGGTACTGGGGATTTTTTTTTTTTTTTTAGATAGGGTCTTGTTAGGCCACTAAACTGCCCATGCTGGGCTTGAATATGTGATCCTCCTGCTTCAACCTCCCAGAGCTCTGGGATTACAGGTGTGTGTCACTATGTCCAGCTTATTCCTAGTATTATTAATCTTCTAAGTGATATTGCCAGCCCCCAAATGAAGTGAAAATCTGGGCCTCTTTTGGATTGTCCCCATTTGTGGCTGAGAGTGGCTATGAGGTGGAAGGAACCAAGCACCGGCAGGCTGATGGCTGGAGGGAAAGTGGCCTCATCCTACCTTATGTACTGGGACTCTGTTTTTGTTTTTGTGTTTGGTACCAGGGATGGAACTCCGGCCATTGGGCTTGTGAGGCAGGTGGTGGAACCCCTGAGCCAAATCCCTGGCCCTGTGTACTGGGACTGGACACGGCTGCTCCACTTGCTGAGCTGTGTGCAGGGGACTTTGGTGAGGGGCTCATCTCTGCTCGCCCCATTTGCTTTACCCATAATGGGGCCAATAATAACAGTGCCTACTTCAGAGTGTTGGAGGAGGGTTACAACTCGAAGCACTTAGGAGTTGGTGCATCATGCAGGCAGTGTATTAGACAGCATGATTATTATCCTTCCTTTTTCTGCTTCTGGCTGCTCTGCCGAAGGCTTAGAAAGAAACAGTGGGTGCTTACAAGGGTTTACAGGAAAGGCGAGCAGCAAGGTTACTGGTGAGAATACTGCTAAATGGTGGGTCTTGGCCCCCACCACTAACCACATTTAACAGGAGGGTTACAAAGGTGCAGGCAAGAGCAGGGGAGATTGGGCAAGTACAGAGGTTGGCAGATGGACTCCCTGGCCAGGTCAAAAAGCATGGTCATGGTGCAAAGAGCTGAAGTGCTGCACTGAGAAGGCAGGGAGCAGTTTTCAGGCAGCAGAATGCATGGATTTGTGATTATCCAAGTGTTTTATGGATGATGAGGTTCTCAGGCTGTCTGATGGGTGCAGGCAGCTGGGCCTATGCTGGAACACAGAAGGGAGAAGAGTCCCATCTGCCAGTCTGATCACACACCGATCAGCTCTGTGTGACCCCAAATGAGCAACTTGCCCTTGCTGAGCTTCCGCGTTTTCATCTGTAGAATAGGGATAATGACCCCCTTCTAGTGTGTTAGGCTCATAGTCGGGCTGCTCAACTATGGTGATTCCTTTTTTCTACTTCCATGACCAAGAGGAAACAGGCACAGGGGAGCAAGGACATTTCCCTAATTGCTGATAATTAGGTGTTAGCTGGGCCCTGGCCTGAGGCCCAGGATGGGTGCACACCTCCACTCCACATCTTGAGGACAGCACAGTCTCCTCCCCAATATTCTTTTTTTAAAAAATTAATTTTAACCCCAAGATTCTTTTGCCAGCCAGACCCAGACCAGTGGAAGGCATCTGTTGGTCTGTTACTTGGGAGCCTGGGGAAGGAGGATCACTTGAGTTCAGGAATTTAAAACCAGACTGGGCAGCATACTGGGACCCCAATTTTTTAAAAAACAGATTGCTCTGCCTTCCTCAATTCTTTATTTTTTAAATTTTTTTTGGTACTGGGGATCAAACTCCGGTCCTTGTGCAGCAGCACCACTGAGCCAAATCCCCAGCCCTTCCTCACTTCTTCCTGTCCAAGTTCCTGCTGTCCCTGAATTAGCTCTGTGACTCTAAATGTCACAGAGGGACTCAGCACTGTCCCTTGATTCCCTGGTCCCTTCCCTCTCACCTCCCTCCTTGAGGACGACCTCAGGCTCAGTGGGATAAAGTTGCTTGCCTGTGGCTGCACAGTGAGCCTTCTCTTCTCGGGGAGACCAGGCCCCAGGGGGGCTGCTGTGGGGCCCAAGGGGAGGCTCAGGCAGAAATCTGGCTTGTCACTTCAAGGTGACAAAGCCCAGTATGGCTGCAGGGTCCCTACTCACAAAGTGACCTCAGAATGAAGTCCTTTCTCCGCTGCCTCCAGTCTGGGGCTCTGCTCCTCCCATTCAGGAGCACCTGGGACATTTTTCCATCTTATTCCTTCCCTTGCTGGAGCTTTTATTTAGCAATAGCTGACACTTCCTATGTTCCAAGTACCAGGTTGAGCATTTAACACATTTACACATTTAATTGCTTCCAATGTTTGAGAACATCTTGTCACACAGGTTCCAAAGCTA